GTTGTTGGAAGTACAATAAAATTAATGTTTTATTTCAATGCATTGTTGCATTTTGGTAAGAAGCAATTATTAATTGAAGGTTGAGATTTAATATTTTCAGATGTGTATATTCTATCTGCATCATTTGGGAAATGACCTTCAGAAAAGGAATTGGATTTACAATCAAAAGACTTACTGTTCAGCATTAGAAAGGCAAACATATAGCTCCACCTATCCAATGTTTTGCAGAATTGATACAGATCAACTATGACTGTAATGTAATCATGATTTCAATTTAGTAATGCATGTATATTTATAAATATGTGTCTTGTATGTATGTGTGTGTGTGTGTGTGTGTGTGTGTGTATATATGTGTGTATATATATATATGTGTATATATATGTGTATATATATGTGTATATATATATATACACATACACTAATTCAAAAAAATCAGGTGGAAAAACATAGGATTAGCTATATTCTGATCCTGAAGATTCTGATTCTGATTTTAAAACTGATGTTTGAAATATAGATGTACAGGGCTTGAGTCCTATGTTCTACGGTAGCGCTACATGTAGCATTCCCTACTAAAAATAAGTACAGCACTGATCAATTTGGACATATTTTAGCCAGCCCAATTTTAATTTTGATTATGCTGTTCCATGCACATTAGGACATCTGGGCTAGACTCCTTTGAACCCAATTAACTGATGCCCAAATCCCCATTCACTAGAATATATAACCTAAATACTGACACACACTCAGGAGGGATGAGTGCTGGGCAATACAACTTTAAGTATAAACAATTGCTACCAGCCTGCCTTCCATTGTGGACCTATATACTGCACAAACCAGAAAGAGGGCTGTGAAAATATCTACAGACCCCTCACACCCTGGACATAAACTGTTTCAACTTCTACCTCAAAACTATGCCATAGGGAATTGCACATCAGAACAACTAGACACAAGGACATTCCCTCCCCCCCCATGCCGTCACTATGCTAAACAACTAATAGCAACAACACTATGAAACTATCTAGTAAGGCTGTATTACTATTATTCTTCTCATCTTTCCTATTACCTATCTCCTTATCTTCTTATGACTATAACTTTGTTACTTGTATCTTATGATTTATATTGTTTTATTTAGTATCCTAGTATGATTTATGTTGATTGCTTATTTAGTATCCTATCACAAAGTGCTGTATCTTATGTTTTATGATGAATGTATTTTTACGATGATTATGATCATCATTTATCACTTACTGTTTGTATGTACACTGAGAGCTTATGTACCGGAGAAAAAATTCCTTGCGTGTCGAATCACACTTGGTCAATAAAGAATTTTGTTCTGTTCTATTCTATTCCATTCTATTCTAATTTGTAATGAAAGAATTGGAGAAAATTTCACAACTGCATCAGGTTGTAAAATTGTAATATATAATATATATATATATATAATAATTGGCAGCTGGGCGATTTAGAAATTTTTTAAAAATAATTAAATTAAATAACTTCAACACACAGAAAAAGCCTTAGCTTTGGAAAGGATGGCCTTTTGGTTAAATATGTTTAGATAGGCTATATCAGTATATCTGCATAAAAGGCTGATCCACAAATGAAGAAATCCCACTTTAGTCTATTATGATGATGTAACTCACAAAATTGAATAATAAGCTTATAGCTAAGTATTATATAAAGCCAGAAAATTGAATAGAATGAACCACAGGTAAATTGATCATTAATAAGTGTTATCTAGATATAGCCTCTCTCACAAATTTCCAAAAACTGATTGGAATTTTTTGTAGATTTCTGGATGGTTTTCTGTAGATTGGCAAGAGTTTCAAATAATAAAAAATGATTTATTCCACCTAATTTGGCTCCAGAAATCCTAGATTCTTCCAAAAGCCCTACTTGAGCCAAATCTGTGGATTTTTAAATTTAATTTGGAAGATTTAAAGAGGAATTTAAGGGGTAAAGTGGTACCTTAAGTCTTTTGAACATTAAAAACACTAATTTCATCCCATGAAACTCCTGAAACCCCACCCAAAATTAGTCCTGTCCCCACTCACCTTCAAAGTGCAGTCTTCAACATACCAAAGCAAAATCTGGTGTAGATCTAGAGCTGCAAGAAATTAAACATCATACATATACTCACTCCTGGTTCAGTGTTGTCTCATCACTCTGGCTTTGGCAAACACTGAAGTAACTTTCCAGTGGGAGAGAAGGAAAAAACCTCCATCTCTCCAATAAACAAGAAGCATCTCCATAGTTTAATAAATGCAAATCAACAAAGGTCATTAATCAATGTACTGGCATTTGATTATGGACAAATGAAAATACAGAAATTTGCCTCATAGGTGGGTGGTACAAAGTGTCTCCAAGGTTCTTTAGTTTGAATAATATAAATACAAAGTGTTCTACCTGGTTTGCTAATAGTTTATGTTTTATGAGGCAATATACTCTATTACTTAGATGTAAATACAATGTGTCCCAACTAGTTCGTTGACAGGCTGGATTTTCTGAAGAAATGTGTTACAGCTTCATGCAAGATCCTAGTTCTCAATAGTGTTTTGGCAACAAGTGTTTTGGTTCCTCTTGTTTGTGGTCAGTTAAGGTCATTATTTAAGGAGAGTGCCTGAGGGTTGACCTGGAGTACTTCTATTCACTGAACAAATCATTTGTTTTCTTGAACATCACATAACTGCTGCTGACACTGCAGTTTGAACTGAAATATCAGTATTGTCGCTATGTATGTGCTTTCTTTGACATATTTTTTCAGTTAAAATCTAGCTATTTCTCTAGTTATTTTTAGTTAAAAACTACTTTAGCTATTAAGCTTCTAGTATTGTTCTGGTTACCTTTCAATTTGCTGAATTAAAAATAGAAGTTTACTTCTGCAAAAATGAAACTAGCTTGGATAAAAAAGAGTTTATAATGAAGATTAGCATATCATCTAACTTTAAAGGTTCTGTTGGACTTTCTTCCTCAAGGAAAAGGAGAATAATGAGTGCCCTAAAATGTGGGTAAACTATGTTACAGCTGAGAACAAGTTTTCCACAAATTTTAAAAGCATCAGTACTCTTGCTGCTTCTTCAATATCTAATATTCACCTCCATATAGTGTCTGCCCTCTACAATTTATGTAAATTGTAAAATGTCTAAAGTTGGATAAGTAGACACATCATAACATATGAATATCTTTTTCAAGATCTTCATGGCTATTTTATCCAGTGTTAGTCTATGAAAAAAACTGTTGTATGCTTGTTCTTTACTGTTGACTTTGTAGATTTTAAAAGGCAGAAGTTAATACCTAAATATCTTTGTTGTCAGTTCTAAGGTTGACAGCTGTACCTTTTGTCATTAGTTTAGCTTTCTTTATATTTAAATTTAGTGTCACTTTTATTATGTCTTTGACTTTTATTTCTAGAGATTGCAGATTCTTTGCATTTTTGGCTATCAGGGTTATTACCATAGCACAGATTATTGATGTTTTGATGTTTCTTCTTCCAGTTTTAGAACCATGATCATCTTCATGTAATCTTACTTCCCTTAATATATATTCAGAATATAGGTGAAATAAATAAATGGAGCAGACACAGTTCTGTCTCCTTTGCCAACCTGCAGCCCATCTGTTTTCCCATATTCTGCCTATACTGTGGTTTCTTCACCTACCTATAGGTTTCATGTGAGGACAGTGAGATGTTCTAGGATTCATATTTTGCATGCATAATTCATAGTTTGTCATGATTTAACATAGTTGAAAGCATTTCTATAATCGATGGTTCATCATTGTTTTACTCTAGGATATTTTTTTGTTTCCTATTTCCCAGTAAATTTTTCCCAGAGAAAAACCAATGATAGCCTTTGGACTTTCACTTAACAGGAGCTGTTTTCTCTTCTGTGAGCTGGATTTCTAATGTGAAGCGTTTGAATCATGAAGTGCAACCCTACTATGTATGATCTAAATCAAAGTAACACCCACTAAGTGTGTTAATTGGTTTACTTACATTATTAGCAGCTCTTATGAGTAGGCATTGAAAATCATGTATAAAATAAAGCTTGCCAAGGTTTTTATTCTGTGTATTTCATTTTCTTCTAATCTCATTTCAGTGTCCACATTATCATCCCTCTATACTACACCTATGCACACATATAGTACTTGCCAACTGCCATGTTAATGCATTTGATAAACTGGATCAGAGTCAACAGCTTGCGCTATATAAAGAAGCAAGTGAGGGGTGATGGTTAACAATTCACTAAAAATAATTGGATTAAAATTGACCCTCAGACACAGAAGCACAATGGGAAACTTTTTGACCAGTTATTCTTTCAGTCCAATGTATTGCATAGGATTATTTCAGGAAAAAGCAGTAGGAAGGAGGGCTTTGTAGGCTGTCTTAATTCCTGAATGAAAGGTAGGATATAAATCTAATACTCATTACAAATGTCTTCAAAAGAGTAAATACAACTTATTTTCTGGAAATGACGTTATAGGGCAGATGTTGTTAAGCAGAAACTTCTCAGATGTAAATTTACATCGGAAATTATCCTTACACACCTGCTTTACAGGTCTGTTCCCGAAAGGTGGGCCACAAATGCAAACATTTTTTAAAGTAATAGTAATAAGCAGCCACCGGCAGGGAATAATAGTCCCGCGTCTCTATTTCTTCCACGCATAAAGTAGACAAAATAAGTCCGCTGCGTTTACATGCAAAGTCCTACTGCTGTGTCAGAGGTTTGCATTCAAAGAAAGGTTTCTGTGCAGAGGTGGTAAGCCACAAGAACAGGCTGGGGTCTTCGTGATTGTCACGGATCTTCTTCGCGTGTACATTCGTCCTACACGAGCTTCTCGGTTAATTTACCGAAATACGAACGAACAACCCGCCACAGAACAGAAGGAACGTCTAGACAAAACGCGGGGGGAAGGGGCTCAGGGGGGAGGCACTGAAGTCGGGGGTGGAGGAGTGGTCGAGATGAGCCCTGCGTCCAATGAGAAGGCGAAGGGTTAACGGGCAGCCAATCTGAGCCGCGCGCAGCGGATCCCGCAGGCTCCATTCAAGAATCTCAAGTATTCAAGATGGACGGAGCGGAATGCGGAGAGAGAGAGTGAGTCGCGGGAGCTGTTTAGTGCCCGCCACTTTCTTGCCCGGGCAAAGCGGGGGGAAAACCGCCAAAGTTTTAACCTCCACCGCGGGGCCATTGCGAGAGACGAGGAGAAGCCAGAGAGCTGCCGAAAGGGTAAAGATGGCCTCGCTGCCGGGCACAAAGGGATTGTCCCTCCAGCACAGGCAAAGGCGCTTCGCCCGATCCTGCTTCCCTTTCACAAACGCGTTTCAAGCGCAGGTTTGATCCAGAGAGCTTACATTTTGTTTGTTCACTCTAAGGAGAGAGAGAAAGCGGGAGAAGGCTGCTGGAGACCCGGGGAGGGGGCGACCGGCTGGGCGCTTCGGATACCGGTCACCCCCGTGGACGACGCCCTGAACTAGAAGAGGTGTGAGGAATGGCCGAAAATACGGAGAAGGGCTTTTCCCACCCCTCTCCAACACTTCATGCCCTTGGCTATAACTGGGAGAAGGGACGAGTGCCCCTGATTATTCTCTGTTCCAGTGTGGCNAGGTAGCTGATAACTGGCATATGGCTCTGCCCCCGTCTCTGCCTCTGACACAGAACCCTCAACAGAGCCTTCCCCAGACTCCAGGACTGCCCCATGTTCCTCCCCCAACCTCCTCACTGTCCGAATCTGTTGCCAGCTCCGCTGGCCGCTGGTGGGCCACAACAACTATTTTGGCAGTCTGGAGAGTGTTCCATGGTGTCATGGAATGGCATGATGAATAGTTTCAATTCCCCTTATCCCAACTCCTTGCCTCCCCGCAGCTCCCTCCCCCTATTGACTATGGCAGACTGGTATCTGGTAAAGCATTGCTGATGTAGCAGGACGGCAATCTTGAAAATATCTGTTTTTCTGAAAGTCTGATCTTTCTCAAGAATAGATATGATTTGGATTTCTAAAACTTTAGCTATTAATATTCATAAAATGAAGACTTTATCAAAGACATATTCAGATCAAAACCCAGTGCCTTTAACTTTTAAAAGGGAAAATGGAACTTTTAGGTGGAAATTGAATGAGAGGCTACAAATGAAAATCATTGCAGAGCATTGCAAAAAGAAGTTAAAAGGTTTTTTTTTTGACTGATCTTAATAAAGATACAGAAGAAAGGATGATTTGGGATGCAAATATCTTACAAAAGAGGATATTTTATACAATGCAATAATGAACTTAAAAAGAAAAGGCAACCTCAAATACAAGTCATTCTGGGTGAGGTAAAAAAGGAAGAATTTTTTTAAAAAAAATCCCCAGGGATTATAATTATTACTCACCAAATTAAGCTTCTCCAGAGGCAATTATCCATGTTAATAGTGAGGGAGATGTAATTAAAGATGAACTATGCAAAACAAAGGAATTTTGAATTTGCAAATAAACCAGGAAAATGGTCTGCATATAAATTGTAAAAACAAAGAGATATTAAACCTATAAGAGGGAAATATTGTAATAACAGATAATGCAAATCTGTGAAAAATATTTCACCAGTATCATTCTACTTTATATAAAGGTCAAAAACATTCCTCAGAAAAAGTAAATGAATATTTATATAAACAGACTTTTCCAAAAATTATAGAGTATCAAAGATAAATTTTGAATGAACCTATACAAGGTAACTGTGTGAAGTTATTAAAAATATTATAACAGGAAAGTGCCCCTTCCAGATGGGTTGTTGTCCTCTTACTATAAATGTTTTCATGATAAACTTTTAAACCTTTACAACAAACAATGAATAGTATTTTATAGAATGGAAAAATTCCTGGTAACTGAAAAGAGGTTAATATAGCATTAGTACATTAAGAGGCAGAAGATTTAACAAGAAATTATCAACCAATCTTTAATGAATCATGATAATAAATTAGCATGATTTTAACCAAAAAGTTGAAGATAATTTTACAGGACTTTATTCATGAACACCAATATGGGTTCCTACAAAAAAGACAATTAAAAGACAATATTACAAATGTGTTAGATGTAAATTAAAGCACTTTGGTATGTTAAGGGTTTTAAAATTAATAATCAGAAGATGAAGATGTTAACAAAAAAAATGAAACGGGAAGATCCAATAGAACTGATGGAGAAAATTCATTTGATTGAGAAAAAAGTAAAATATTTGGGTTTAGTATAAATATAAATTGTATGTTATTTCAAAGTAATTATGTTAAGATGTGGAATGGAATTAAGAAGGATTGTTATTTTAAAATTGTCACTGTTGTGCAGAATTTCTGTAATGAATATTTTGCATAAATGGCATTTTTTGACAACTGATATACCATTTAAACAATGGCAAAAATATATATCTACATTGATATCGCAAGCGGGGGGAAGCAAGAATTAAATGTAAAGTGTTACATGTAAAGGAAAGAGGAGGGCTGGGGTCTGAAATTGTATTTTGCTGCTTGTTCTATAGTCTATATGAAAGCATGGGTATGTTTTGATACTCCATTGAAGATATTGATGGTTGGCTCTTCACAAACTTCTAAATCTTTCTTGTTGACCATTACCAGAAATTCTTGCAAATTTATTTAGCTTCTACATTACATTTCCCAAAGTTCATGGAAATGGAATGGTTTCAGATTTACATTCCAAATATCCACTGGGAAATGATAATGTATTTTTAATTCCTCAGCATATAAAACTCACAGCCTTTAGTGAAATAGCTTGCCATCAGAAATTGGGGTTGCACCATTAGTGGAGGTTTTTAAGAAGAGACTAGACAGACACATATCTAAAACAGTATATAGGTTCTCCTGCTTGAGCAGGGGGCTTTACTAGAAGACCTCTAAGGTCCCTTTCTATTCCTATTCCATTCCTATTCCATTCCATTCCATTCTATTCTATTCTATTCTATTCTATTCTAATTCCAACCTGTAACCTACCACTACCACATATGATCTCCACCAGGATATTCTGTCCTGTGTCAAATATGCAGACTGTACTAGTGGAGTTGGAAAGAAGGAAGCATAGCCCTTAATTTGTTCCCATTGATTCTGTGACTGTAACTATAAAACTTACTTGTGGAGCTGAGATGCCAGTAAAATACTACTGCCCTGTAGAGTCCATCTAAAAGAGTTTATTAATGACAATTTACTCAAAAGCTTTACAAACCTTTCTTTCTCCCCACTGTTACATGTTTTTGGTTAAGAAGAAAGATAGCGCCCCATTATATAGTCCATGATTGCATGGTCCTTAACTCTGTAATCATCATAGTTCACTGCTTTCTTCCCCAATTTCTCAGTTCTTGGAATTGCAAAACGCACATATTTCTAGCCAAGTGGATCTCAGTTTTAAAAAGCTTACAATATGACTCACCTGAAAAAGGGCCAGGAATCAATTGTCTTTTATTTTCTGTATAATAAATTTGAATATATATTAAGTAGTTAAAGACTGATCAATGTGTCCACATGCAATTTATGTATCATGTTTTTCACATTCGTTTGGATGATTTTTTAAATTAGTTAGTTAGACAATTTATTTATTCAATCCAACAAGCCTCTTCTATATGAGAAAAGTTCCCAGAGTTTTTTTTAATGAAAATTTATTATACAGAAA